AACTATGGCGCCCAGGACAAGAAACAAGGAGGAGTCTCGACGAGAAGTGGTTGAGGAGAGACCGACAGTTGCGGACTTGGAGGGTGAAAGCTCGTTTGCGACCTTGGCCAGGAAGTTGTGGCTGAACAAGAAGACCGCCAAAGTCAAGGTCAAGCACGATGTATTGAAGACGGAAATTTGGGACGTGTTAGAGAAGGAGGATTTTTCGTTCAAGTCGCTCCTAGTTCTGGAGAATTTGCAGATCCTAGAGAGGTACGGCCATCATTTCCTCCCGGATTGAGTTTGCTAACATGTGAACCAGCTATCTCTGGCCAGGATATTCCGAAGACTCGTCTAACTTTCACGTCTTGCTTATTGTCTTGGTTGCAAATGTCAAGATTCGGGAACAATTGTTGACGTGGGGTAAGTAACGAATGGCTCCTTGGGGGAATATGTTAATGACAAAGATATAGACATCTTCACCGACAACCCAGCCGAGTTCTCAACCTTATTTCGACGAATACTTTCCATGAATCTAGACACCTCTCTAAGTGCAAATATCCGCACCCACTTGCTTTCATTCATAATAAGCGCCTTCCAATCTCTGGACAGCGGGATTGTTCGGAAAGAATGTGCTCCACTGGTATCGATTTCAATATGGCACAATATCTGCAGTGAAAAGAAGAGGGAGCACAAGCTTGACCAGAGTGTGCAATTGAGAAAGGCTTGGAGAGCAGCAGCCAAACGCTATGATGCAGCAGACGAGCCTACAAAGCCCAGGCTCCGATTCGAACGTTCATGGCTCTTCACTCTGCTCCTCGACTTTTTCAACCAGCTCTACAACGAGAAGAACAAGCCAGGTTAGTTTAGTCTACCTTATGCACGATGCAGCACTTTTGCTAAACATGTAACAGAAAACATTCGGTATTGTGAGCGTTTTATTGAGTTTTTATCAGATCTCCAGAGTCAGTTGCCAACAAGGAGATATGTCAACACACTTCTCCAGGACTTGAACACACTTCCAGCAATCCGTATGTCTCCCGCCTTTAATGATGAGGACAATGGGCTTTTACGGGATTTGTATGCATTACTCAAGCATTATACATACTTTTCCATTGATGATCACACTGGTATTCAGCATAGTCGCACCGAGGCTTACGAAAGACATTGCGCTATCCTTGCGTCATTGCAGCGAACAGCCCTGAAGCATTTCAAGGACAAGTTGACGATTCTAGCTTTATCGAATTACGGATCAATCGAGAAGCGGACTGAGCTTGAAGGCCATCTCGAATCTCTAACATCTGAAGAGATTACTCAACTTTGCGACCTTCTCGAATTTCGTACCTCTTATCCTGCTTCCACTCTGCTGGTGACAGATCGCAGATTTCTCAGTGAAGTTCTATTGTCAGGGCATGAGAAAAGGAAGACCTTTCAGGAAACAGCGCGTGACCTCAGCGTTCTTCCTACAGAGCTCACTCTCTTCGAGCCGACGTTACTAAGGAACGACAACTACAACGGATCGCAGCCTCTCGCTATACCTAAGCTAAACCTGCAATACCTCACAGTCGGCGATTTCTTATGGAGATCATTTATTCTTCATCGATGCGAATCATTCTACGAGATTAGAAAGCACATTGAAGATGTCATAAAACGGATGCAACCATCTACGAGCCCGACAGGCCAGACATCTTTTAGAGGATTCTCTAAGATGGCATTGCCAATCACTAAGCCAGCGTACGTAACTTAGACTCTCCTGGATTTCTCTGCTGACTGCTCCAAGAATTTTAGAAGTGGTTCCATCTTTAGTTGGTGACGATAAGCCGTCCGCCGTCCGATCTGAGATAACTCTAGATGTCAGCCGCTTAGCGGAAAATATCCGTCGAGAATGGGAATCACTCCGACCGGACGATGTCGTTTTTCTCTTGGCAGTGCAGGGTGCTGATGACTCAAGAATGATAACGAATGGTGGCTCAACGCCTACCGACGCCCAAAAGCTAGGCCTGAAATATGTTCGAGCGGCCGAGATTACTCAAGTGCTAGACGATAAAGGGCGCTCACTGAGGGGTCAAGAAGAACAGAATGGCCATAGTCGCCCACGAGTTCGTAGACTGCAGGTCAAGCTTGACGCGGTTGCGTACAAAGCGGATATGGAAAGGGTGGCGAGTGGCAAACCCGACATCTACGAGAGTATGAATATAGTTGTGCGCAGAAGAGGAAGGGAGAACAACTTCAAGCCAATTCTGGAATCGATCCGAAGTTTAACCCTATCAGACGTGCCTTTGGCATCTTGGTTGCATGAAGTATTCCTCGGCTATGGAGATCCGGCAGGAGCAACATACACTCATCTTGCCAATCGTATCAAGAAGGTCGATTTTCGGGACACATTTCTGGATTGGCAACATTTGATCGAAAGCTTACCAGGGAAGACGGTGGAACCAAGTGATGATATGGATGGTAGTTTCGGTCCTCCGTATGTTCTTGAAGCGGCGCCGAAAGTTGCAGAAGCAGCGACAACGAAACCGTCGAAGAAGAGACGAAGGGATGCCGAGCCAGTACCGCAGATCCAACCGGAAGCAGTTCGAGTATCTACTTACAAACCTGATAGTACTGGACCGTACCCTATGGACGCTCCGAAGCTAAACCAGGTACGATTCACACCTGCTCAGGTTGATGCGATTGTGTCTGGTACACAACCTGGGCTCACCGTTATTGTTGGCCCGCCTGGAACAGGAAAGACAGATGTCGCAACCCAAATCATCAACAATATCTATCACAACTACCCGGATCAACGCACGCTTCTGATTGCTCATAGCAATCAGGCCCTCAATCAGCTTTTCCAGAAGATTGTTGCATTAGACATTGATGAACGCCATTTACTGCGATTAGGGCATGGCGAAGAAGAGCTGGACACGGAAGCCAACTTCAGCAAGCATGGAAGAGTTGAGTCTTTTCTCGAAAATCGCGATGGGTACCTCCGTGAAGTTGATCGCCTTGCTGCAAACTTCGGTGCTCCTGGTGCCCATGGTAGCTCTGCCGAAACTGCTGGTTACTTCAATTCAGTATATGTTGAGCCCGCTTGGACAAGATTCCAGGAACTTTCATCACAGCCGGAAACTACCGTGGAAACTATTGTAGAAGCTTTCCCATTCCATCACTACTTCTCCAATGCACCGCAACCGCTCTTCCCGGCTGGCGCGGACAAGGAAACTGTTTTAGATGTTGCAAAAGGTTGCTACCACCACGTTTCTAAGATCTTCACAGAGCTTGCAGATGTTCGACCATTTGAGATTCTGAGGAGGGACCGAGACAAGGCCAATTACCTCCTTACCAACGAAGCTCGCATCATTGCCATGACATCTACGCACGCAGCAATGAGGAGACGAGAGATAGCATCGCTTGGCTTCCATTACGATAACGTGATTATGGAAGAAGCAGCTCAAATTACGGAGATTGAAAATTTCATTCCCTTAGCGCTGCAGAATCCGCAGCATGGACAAATGCCCTTGCAGCGTGTGGTTCTTTGCGGGGACCACTTCCAAAATTCGCCTGTCATCCAAAACCTCGCCTTTCGTCAGTATGCAAACTTGGAACAATCTCTATTTTCAAGGCTGGTACGACTTGGCGTGCCAACTATCAACCTAGATCAGCAAGGTCGAGCTCGCCCTTCAATAGCGTCTTTATATTCGTGGCGCTACAAGAACTTGGGCAGTTTGCCCGTTGTCTCGACATCCCCAGAATTCCAAACATCTAACGCTGGCTTCAAATATGATTATCAATTCATCGAGGTGCCAGACTACAAGGGCCGAGGAGAATCGGAACCGACTCCACATTTCATCCAAAACCTTGGAGAGGCGGAGTATGCTGTTGCCATCTATCAATATATGCGCCTCCTCGGCTATCCCGCGTCCAGTATCAGCATTCTTGCGACATACGCCGGCCAACGGGCCCTGATCAAAGATGTGCTATCACATAGATGCGCCCAGAACCCTCTCTTTGGTCTTCCAAAAATCGTAACAACCGTCGACAAGTATCAGGGAGAGCAAAATGACTGTAAGTATCACCTCTTCTAGCCATTATATTGACCTGCTAACGTGGTTAGATGTCATTCTATCACTCACCCGAACTTCTCGAGTCGGCTATCTACGTGACATCCGACGTCTGACGGTTGCTCTTTCCCGGGCGAGGTTGGGATTGTACGTTCTCGGTCGACGAGAGATATTCGAGTCATGCTTAGAGCTGCAGCAAGCTTTCGATATCTTGCTAAAGAGGCCGGATAAGCTAATGCTTGTTACTGGGGAGTTGTGGCCAAGCAAGAGGGTGCTGAAGGATGAGGAGGGCAAGAGTGTTCCGGGGGAGAGCCAGATGGAGAACTTGGAGCATTTGGGACAATACGTGTATGAGATGACGAACGCGAAGGTACAGCAGCTGAGGGCAGAGAGGGGATTGCCCGAGACAAAGCTCATTGCACCACCTTTAGGTGAGGATGAAGAAGGTCTGGGAATTATCGAAGAAGATTACGAAGGGATCGAGGAGGAGATGAATGAGGGGTTTGAAGCTGAGGAGGAGGCATAAAAGTATAAAGAGAAAAGCCAGCATAGCATTCGTACATGTAGGATAATGTTCGTCGTTGCCTGCGCAAATGAAAGATACCCATGGACCATTTCTTCAGAGAACACGTCTTTCATTCAAGTGGTACTTCCCAACTACAGATCTCGCATATGAGCTCTGACAGCCTCTTAATAACGTAAGTACGTACTCATCTCACCTTGGCTATAGGTAGCAATGGGAGATCTTTTCTAAGCCTTGGAGGACCTGCGATGTCGTAACTCGTTAGCCGAGAACCGCCCCTTTTCGGAGAGCGCTCCTCGCTTAGACACCTCATCAAAAACATTGCACCGCCACCATTTCTCGCCACTAATTAGAGAGATCATTGAAGAGAGCCTTATTGATCTCAAAACCAAAAGAGGGGGACCGGGGTGGCACATTCTCCCCTGGAAGGAAGAATGTGCGCCCCAGTCGATGAATGCTAGGTAGACTCGAACTACCATTACCCGTGATTTCATTAAGCTTACAGTTCGATTTATCACGAGCGTGTTACCCATTACACTATAGCATCTTTGGTTGGTGAGGCAAAAGTGGTTATTTTAGTCTATAAGACTAAGACGAAAGTGAAGTTGGTAGGAGCAGGAATTTGCGGGGTTGCGAGTGGGTAGAAAGGCAAAGTACGGGGAAAGATGAGCGAGCTTCGTTGGTGCGTGCGTGCGTTCCTGTGTTTACAAAAGCGACAATCTCTGTGATAGTGATTGCTGGTCATATGCTGATTCGTATTAAGGCTTGGGAAAGGTGATATCTTGGTGGCAGCCATGAGAAATGAATGTGGATACACAATGAAGAGTTTCGAGGTTGGGCAGTAGATTAAAGGTTTACTGTGGGTTGTTTGTAGTTCACCCTTATTTCCGCTTTAGCTCTACACACAAACTTTCTTTTATGTGCTCCTCTAGCTGTCAAATTTGTGGAATAAATGCGCTTAATTAGCAAAATAATTTTAACATGTGGACATGGCAAGTCTCAAAGGCCCTTCGAAGCTCAAACTTCAAGCAACTCTATCAAGAAGCTTGAAAAATCATTCAATGGTGGATCTTGGTTTCTAAGTCCTAGGAACTGAGCTTCTATGAGGCTCCCCTAGAAGTTCGAACGACACTTTACACGTCAATTGGCTCGCACCATAAGTAAAAGCGCCTATCTTCCCGTCAAGGAGGTATTAAAGCAACGAGCATAGCTACGCTCCTTGCTGCATATTGTGACCAAGACTAAGAATACACTAAGTAGCTACTCAAATCTTCCCGGCTTTCTCATATCAGAGTCTTCGTTTATCAAAGCCCCCATATTGAATGTCGAGCTAAGCAGCAGTTAGATCAGAATATCCACCACCAAGCAGAGAGGGAGCATCTTTCGATACAGTTTTCAGATGTAAGATATTTATTTGAAGTTTCGGACGAGTGGCTGAAGATGTAAAAGCCATCTTTGTTGCCGAAAACTGTGGGTTAATTTGTTCGACTTGCAAAGTGTTAGGATAAGCGAGCAAAAGATAGGGGAAAGGGGAGATGTTGACACAAGCAATAAGCCGCCGATATTCCTTCTCAACCCAAACCTGAATCAAGACTGCAAAGGAGTGAGATCCTAAGGCCATAATTTCGCCAGAACCACAATAGCTCGCCTCGCAGGCAATGCTGAGCGATTTCTTGCCACCAGCGTGCTCGGCTGGGCTGGATCTTCGAGTGACTCAAAAGCTCGGCGAGCCCCTATCCGAGAATCGCGGAATACAATCCAGAGGCGCACAAAGCATCAACGCCAAGCCTGCCAGCACATCTCTGCGGGGCAGTAGCAACAAGCTCACGCGCATCACACGACCATTCTCTGTTCATGCCGCTCTCCCACGAGCTCGCCATGTCGCGATGAAACCGGGCTCAGCATACTCGCCTTCGAGGTACCCTCAAGTCAAAACTAGTTCTATGACCAGCTCGGATTCTGATAACATTGATATTGCGGGGCTCACTGAGCGACGCTCGGATTGGGGAACGCGTACCGAGTCCCGAACGTCGACAATATCAGATATATTCGAAGAGGCAGGAGGCGAGATTTCCATGTCAGGTCCACAGGAGAAGAGCACGATATGCAAGGTACGGTTGATATTGTTCCTGGGGAGCTGTGGAGCTTCCCCTCACTTCACGGCATCATGCGGCTATAACACATGCGGGCGAGAACGAGCACCGCCCCACTGATCTCTACGGAAAGCGTGCGAGTGGACGTGTCGTGTAGAATAGATGGGAGCGGAATGGCTCCCGAAATGCAGAGTCGCAGCAGTGGCTTTAAGGTTGATAGCACCGATATGAATAAGAACGGATAGAGATAAACACGGAGCAATGTTTACACGGAACTCCCGAAACCTTCTGAGAACCGGGCTAAAACATTTCTCCGACGCATGACAGCTCCGCGGAACCTTGCTCGTGAGGGAAGCTTATTGAATGTGAGAGATGCGACAAGGCTATTATCAAATATAACCAGAAACGCGGTGCGAGTGACAAATATCGCAAACATGGCCCGATGAGACGGGATTAAAATAGTCGCGGCCGGGCCCGGGTCTCCAGACATTTGAGAGGACATGAGAGGTGGTGTACCGTTTGATTTTGATTGCAGACGACAGCAGCATCCGAGTGCAGTACCTCTTGGTACCGCGGCTGAATAGTCGCTTAAACTTTATATCTGGCTAGGGATTGATCGATTGACACGAACTTCGTGGCTGGAGAGTTGGAGCTTCGAACGAACCATGCCATGAATACGGACGAAGTCATGGTTGTAAGGTATTGCTGAGGCTGGGCGAGATTCCCGAAGTAGATCTTCCTCGTTAAAATTAGAGAGGATCCGCGGTTGCCTGACAAGTTTGATATTGATGAAGCTGCCTGGAATCGAGTTCATTGGCCGAGTTACCGCACCACGTTTCTTTCATCTATAACATAAACAGAAATGTATGGATTTGGAAATAGAGATAAATTGTTCATGTGTTCAGGTCCAGAAAGAGGATCGAGATGCAAGAACATCGAAATCTTCGAATCTCGACCGCTCACAACAGAAACACGACCACACTCGAAGGGACCCGGAAAAGACCGTACTCAGGAGAACAGCCTGAGTGGAAGTTGCATTGACCGGAAATAGGAATTGAGCCATTGTGCGACCTTCTCAAAATATGACTTCGCATCCCTCAAGTGTCAGGGGATCGCTCATGGCTTCTCCGTCAGCTGCAGCAGAAAGTCCCTCACAAGCGCTTACCAGGAGATGATACGGACTCCTCCGGATGGATGGAAGTAAGAGAAGTCTTTCAGAGTCCAGACACCTCAGGTGAGTGCCTTTCAATGCTCAGTGTGGATGCCAGACAAAAGCAGAACGCCCGGTAACGTCGAGAAGTACAAGGAACCTGGGAATCAGTCCTCCTTGTTAGTAACATCCCGGGACGAAAACAACGCATTCTGATGGTATGAATGAAGGAGGCTGGGAGGAAGGTGTGACAATCCAAAACTTCTTCGATTGCCCGGCATTCATGCCTTCAAACACCATCATGTCTCGCAAGCAATGTTTAACTCTTGAGAATCTAAGATCCTATTGGTTCTTCTAGAATAAGCTTCAGCGTATCAGGTCGAAAGCAGGGGATACTCATATGCCCGCCATCACATCGGCTGTTCTTAATATCTGGGATGATGGCTCACCCTAGGAGGACGAGGCTTCTTCGAACCTCCTGGAATGCTTCTAGGTGCTTGACCGACGCCTCAACCACTGGTTCCCAACGCATCCCTCTCGATCCTTGCTTGCCTGATCGATTGGGGGTTCTCGCCATGACATTTCCCCCACAACTTGGGGTAAGGTGCCCACTCCGACCAAAAGCGGACAGCTTTGACATTTTGACATGATTACGCTGATTGCCAGTTTCACAAAAATATAAACAGCAGACAACTATTGGCCGTCGAGAAATTGAAGGAATGTACTCGGAGATAAACTGCCAGTAAAATGGGTCTTCTCTGCCCGGATGAGGAAGGAAGGTTGGAAAACGAGGAGTCTCTGCTGTACCTTAATCTTCTGAGGCCACGAGCAATCTATATTATATTAAAGCCATCAAGTGCCGGCTCGCGAGAGCTGTCATACGCCCGTCCAAAGTCCGCAGGAAAGCTGGCGGAATACCAGATTCCGCATGGCGTCGTTCCGTCATCCCGGTGCACCTGACAAAAGGATCCTTCTCGTTCGCTGACAGCGCGTCTGCGGCCATGATCACTGGGGGGAGGAGGGGGGGGAACCATCTTATCTCGTTGCTGCGGAGCCGTTGATGCAACAGCAGACATGGCAATTAATATTCTGCGAGTCAGCGAGCTGGACGTTTGGAGGTGGCTTGAACAATCAAGGCATCGCGCAATGCACGGCACTGAATGGCTGAACGTCAGATCAAGCTGTTCAAGCGATCGCAGGGCCATCCGTCAGTGCAACGCTGTGGCTTGTTGTGGCGGACAGGGTGGTGATCGACGCTGGCGGCAGGCCAGGGGAAAGCCGACCGGGGCATGCGATATACCTCTACCATTCATAAGATGCGCCAGATGCACCGCCGGCCGGGGACGCCAGGCACTGGCCCAGCCACCCCTCATTTCGGTCGGATAATGTAGTCCGTCAAGCCAAATATGTGCTGCTGCTTCCACTGGTCCGCCGTGCTTGGGTCAGCATGAAGATCACAAGTCTGGTGTTTCTGCATAACTCTGCTCATAATGGGGCTCTTATTGCTCGTAATGCTGGGCACTGTTTGACCAGCAGCGGCCTCGTCATGTGCTTGCGAAATTGTTCTCGGCGGGAGCCAGTGAAGATGGGATCCCGCTGCCAGGGTGAGACGAGCTGCAGGAGGCAGGAAACGGCATCCTTCTGGAAATCTTAAACGCCGTACCCGCGCCTCTGTGTCCAGGTCCGAATCGGCTCACGACGGGGCGGCATCCACACATAAGAGTGTGGCTATGGCAATCGCAGCAAGGAAGCCGATGTCTGGACAGCGGACGGCGGACACAAACCCCGCCGTAGCTGCACATGCGGGAAAGGACAGCGAGCGTCATGTGTGGGGGAAACATGCAAGGCGGAGGGCCAGCCAGTGGTTGTCCCTCGTCGGGCTGGCTGCTCTTCGAGTCCTCGTCCTCGTCCTCGTCCTCGCCCTCGCACCGCTGCCCATCCCATATGCCGTGGAAAGGGGGTGAGGAGCTGGGGAGCTGGGGAGTCGAGTACCGGCCTCAGCACTCAGGTCAGCCCCTCGCCTGCGCTGCGTCCACTAGGCGCTGGGTACTAGGCACTGGCGTCCTCATACTGTACCTTCGTACTGTACCCTCGTACTGAGCTCTGCCGGAAAAACCTGGTTCCACTTGACCCGGCACGGCAGAACTGTCCAGGCCCGCCAGTTTCACGTTTGTCCGTACCTGTGTTCCTGCATCTCCACCTCTGCCTCGAGGGCCCTCAGCTCGTATTGGAACGTGTAGCTGCAGGAAGTCCCTGCCTCTGAGCCTCTGAGCTTCTGAGCCTCTCTAGGCTGCTCACAATGCA